TGTCATATGTTCGCACAGCCTGCAGGTAGCTGGGAGACGGGCACGCGTTTCACTTCCTTTCCTTGCAGCATGTGGACCCAAGTACACACGAAACAAACCCTCTCAGCACGGGGTGTGGCCCCCAGCTGGGATTCCTAGCTTGATCGGCAGGCTGTGCCAGTGACTGAGGGTGAAACTGCCATGGCCGGCTGATTCAGAGGAAAGGAAGCAGAGAAGCTGCCTGCAGCACCCTTTTGTATTTTGCCTGCTGAAAGCCAAAGTGGTCAACCACTTGAGAGAAATTTTTCCCTTTAAAGCTGGAGGGGGTGGGGAGAATCAGAAGCAAGCTCATCTTCAAGTGCTTCCAGCTTGCCAGGGACCTTAATGCCATCCACTAAAGTCAGTACATTTCAAGATGGAGCCTATGCATGGGATCCAGCCTAAGTTTTCCATTAGTGGAATGAAACTCCCCACCTCCTCCCACAAGTCCACAGATCTCCATGAGATGCTGCTCATGGGGAATAGGGATCTAAACTGGGGGAAGGGGGGGGATTGATGGAAATCGCCAATTTAGTCTGGATCCAACCCTACAGTTCTCAACAGAGTCTGGCATTCTGATATTATTGGGGAGGGGGCAGTCCACAGCAGTTAAAACAACACTCACAGAAGAGCAAGGAGGAAGCCCAGGTTACACAAGCAATCAGGAAGGTTTGCAGGACTGCAGAAAGTACCAGGTAACATTTCCTTCTTCAGGGAGGTGGATCGAGACTGTGAATCATATTGCAAAAAGGACATTTGTCGCCCTGTTATCTCCGAGTCTGTTCGGAGTCAGAAGTTCTCTGCAGGTCCATATATCTACACACACATTCACCCACTAGCTGGGAGTGCCAGTTGTGAGAACTAACCCTCTGCAATAGAAGAAGAGAAAACCATTGCTCTAATCCAACAATATGCCTGACCTGGATAGCCCAATCTTATCAGATCCTGGAAGCTAAGCAAGATTAGCCTCTAGTTAGTATCTGGGTGGGAGACGAAGTCCAGAGTCCTCACATGGAGCCAGGCAATGGCAAACCACCTCCGAACATCGCTTGCCTTGAAAGGCACTTTTCCACCACCGCCAGTCCAACAATGGCCACCTCCGCACAGGCACACTTCTGTTTTCTTGGTATCCCAGCAACCCTTTTGTTATGGCTCCTGCCACGCAGAACCTGGCCTGACATCAACCCACCTCCCCAGCCCCACAATTAGGACGACTCACCATTCAGAGCCAGGCCTTGGATCGCCTCCCTGCTTTCCGCTCTTACCTACAGGACCCTCCTTCCCCATTCTGCTAAACTACTGGAGAGGGAGGGAACCAACAATGATTTTTCCTTCTTGGCAGATTAGGCTTCAGGGGTTCATCCAATAGGAAGAAATCACAGCAAGGGAAGGAGCAGCCCCCCCCCCCCAATCCATTAAAGTCTTGAAGCAGGCATCCTGGAGCCTTTTGAATTTGTCCTAGGTTGCCCATGTTTTCAAGGCCTTGCTCCTTACAAACTAGAGGAACTAACTTTTTTCCCTTGTTCAGGGAGGGAAAATGTCCTGCTTGCTAAATTCTGGATGCCGTTAAAAGCAGAGAGTGCAGAGGGCCCTCCCCTGGTCTAAACTCAGTTTGCCTCTGAACAAACCTGAGCCCTTTGTTCCTTAGGGGCAGCTGCCACTCTACACTCTGTATTCTCCACAGTTAGACGTGCTGCTCCAGCAGCAGCTGAAACCTCACCATGCAAGTGGCCTGTATTCCAGTCCCTGAACCACATCCTGGGCTAGTCTTGTAAAATTAAACCCAAGAGCCATCCTTGTTCCAAGACGAGTACCGGGTGCCTCTGTGGGTTTTCCTTGCAGCTTTCTGTAGTGCTGAACCCATTAGGGAGTTTTCCCTAACAATTTCAGTCTGGGTCTCCCACTTCCCTGTGTTTACAGTCCCTGGCTCTCTCACATTTTGACAGATGCACCTACTTTGGTGGTGCCCAAAGAAATTAAAGCCCCTAGAGGATTGTAAGTGCAATATAGCAAGGACTTACAATGAATTGGAATCTCTGCCTCCTACCCAGACATCTGGGCAGCAGGAGGAAGTTATAATCTCAACAAAGTGCGGAAAACAGGCTCCATCTCAGCTGCTTGTTTCAAGACGGCACTGGGCTATGACCCAGGCAAAGGGGAGGATGGTCAGAGCAAAAGCAGGCAGGAAGCTACAGGCCAGACCAGGCAGCCGCTGTTAAACCACCCTAATCTTTCAGTGAGGTTCCAAGGATGATGGGGAAAGCAGCAAAGCTGAAAAATACGAACGTTTGCTGGTGACACCAAAATATTCAGGTTGGCAAGTTTTGAAATACTCTGTAAGAGAGATCCAAGAGTTCTGAACTGCCTGTCATAAATTCAGTAAAGGCAGCAGTGCAGTGGGAAAAAGGAACGTAGGGTGGGGGTTGAAGCCATGGTGTGCTATTAGGGTGCAAGAGACTTGCAGGAACCCAAACAGAGTACGTAAAAGCTGGGCCAATCCAACAGAAGGTGGGGGCAAGCCCCCCCAACTAAGCAACAGTTGAGAGATACCAACTTTTGTTGCTTTCAGCCATTTTAAATAGGCAAACTCTAAATGATACTCACAAAAAACCCCACCCCTGTTGCAGTTCAGAATTGGCTTCGAAAGGGTTTCTGATTCAAAGCATCAGCACAAAACCTCACACAAAGGGGAAACAGTGGAAGGAAAGAGGGGGACTCTGTAGCACTGCCGATCCCTCCCCCCCCCCCCATGTTTCCCAAGCAGCAACTCCCATTTTGGAGAGGTGGAGTGTTTCTTTTCGTAGTGCCACGGTCGTTCTGATGGCTGCAGAGTGTTAGGAGAGCTCCCCCTTGCCCCCAACTTACCAGAGAAGAGAGAGCTGGATTAAAAATAAAGCAACAATTTTATTCTGTTATATTGTTTCTTTTACTCCTTCATGGGTATTTTTCCAATGCAACTTCAAAGGATTATATAATAAAGTCTTTTCTTCTAAAGAGAAGATTAATTTCCACAGATTATATAGTGCAATTGGTTATCTTGTAGAAAAAAAATAAAACATGATTATTGTTAGCTTCATAGTTGGAAAATTCTGAAGATAGCTCCGAGTTCTCAATAAAAAGAGAAACAAAAATGCAGGAGTCCATCTAGAAAGTTCCTTTAGGGAAGGGTGCTACGACCCTCCTCCGTACTTGAGCTCAATTGAACAATATGGAGTCCGGATCCTGGTTTGCCATTTGTGCAATATGCTTTAATACATCCTTTTTGGTAATGATTCCCAGGAGTTTCCTAAAAGAGGCCATCAACAGAAGTAGTTAGCATAGGAATCCTCCCGTTTCCCACCTACTGTGATCGGACAGGAGCGCTGCCTTGGTGACAAAGAGCCCTGACTTCAGAATTCAATTAACTGGACTGTGTTAGCATCATGTTTCTAAGAACTCACATTTTCTTTCAGTTTAGAACCCACAAGGGTGAGCCAAGTTAACCATAGATTCACATTATTAAAACCCAAAGCCATTTCAAGCTGGTATCACTGGTTGACTTCCCCCAGTAAAGTATGGGGAAGCAAAGTTCTTCACAAATGTTTGAAGAGAATCCCCCCTCCCCCCTCATATTGCAGTTTCTGAGGAATTTGGTGTGTGTCTGTGGGGGGGTCACTCGAGTGACAAAGCTTTGGAAGTGTTTTGATTTGCTGCGTACATGAAAGCTTGTTTTGCAATAAAGCAAATTTACTGTCACCTCGGCTTTTGAAAGCAACTGATTTCCAAACACTACTTCAGTTGTAAGGTGTTGCAGATTGTTTGTTGCCCAGTTTAAAAAGCAGCATCTTTTAAAAACCAAAACAGACATGCTAAACATTGTTTATAGTAACCTTACTTTCCAGCTTTGTTTTTTTGTATGTATAATTTGTATATCCAATATATTTGTGATTACTGCCACTTATCTCTCATTGTCTCTCCTTTTCTTGGTCTGCTTTTGACATGACAAGAGACTTCGAGAGCTCCTCCCCACCCAGTGTGGCAGAACCAGGAGGGAACTGATGTGTCCCAAGAGGGTCAGAGGCCAGCAAGCCTCTCTTGTGCTCTCACCAGGAATGTAAGCAGCACAAATCATGTGACTAACTGGGACACACTGACCATAAATGCCTAGTGATTCCACTGTACCCCATTTTAATAGGTGCCCCAGAGACCGATAACCCTCCTTTAAGGCTTGAAAGAGGGGTCATTTCAGCTTGTTCTTTCACATGCCAAATGCTCATGGCTGTAGTGCAAAGAAGATAAACACAAGCACCATCACATTGACATAATTTGCCAAGAAGCATCCAAGTGCTCAGAAAGAGACTGAGGTAGCCAATAAGCTTGCTCCTCCCTCACCCTACCCCAAGTGCTGTCCTTACCCATTGTGCGTGACCAGGCACTGGCGTAGCCCAAGTTTGCGGAAAATGTCCACCACAATTTCCATGGGTGTTTGGTCTGTCACAGTGAAAGGACTGAGGTCAAGAATACTCCGGAGTTTGAGCGTGGACGGGGAACTGGGAGGCAGAGGTGGGGAGTGGTCCGTGAAATAAATAACAGAGCTGCTCACAATTCCATCTTGCTTCTTCCGGGCACTTTCTGGGGGAGGAAAAAAAGAGAGTTGTTGGGAACAGAATGGAACAACTTGAGTACACCCAACCACCCTTCACTTTGCCTTTGGTAACTGCCATTGCTTGCAGTACCCCACAGGTTTGGACTGGGTGCATTACCCAAGGGAAGGCTGGTCTTGAGGCATGCTTTGTCTTTTTGACTCCTGGATTCTATATCAACAGAAGATTTTGGCCATGGCTACAGGTATTCTACTGTTATAATGCAGTAGTGTAGAAGCTGGTAATGAATTCAGAACTTAACATGCTGCTGGTCCTGAAGGAAATTTCAGAAGCCAGCAGGTCAAGGAAGAAGAGCATTGTGATGCCTTCTGCTCTTTGCCTTGCTCTCCCACCCTTACTGCCCAAAGCAGAATTAAGCAAGATAAATATAGACGCGTTTGTGTAATTTATAACAGCCCATAGAAATAAAGTTTCTTTTTCTGCAGAATTTGGGCTGCCTTCACACAGACGTTTATATCTTTAGTCTTAACCACAGCATTCTCCCTTTCAGTCCAGATCCTTCTGGAAAGCCAAACCCCTTACAGACAGGCCAAGATGGGCATCAGCAGATGGAAGTGCAAACACTGCAAACACTGTGGTTTCAGGCCCCTGATCAAACCACCCCCTTTAGATGTGCAGGCCTGAAGACTGCAACTATTACAGATGGTGTTCTACCACCCATGGTAAAAGCATCCTAAAATGACACTGAGTAAAGTACAAGATGACTCAAGAAGAGTTGGTTTTTACACCCCACCTTCTCTACCTTAAGGAGTCTCAAGGAGGCTTACAATCCCCTTCCTCTCCCCACAACTGGCACCTTGCGAAGTAGGTGGGGCTGAGAGAGTTCTAAGAGAACTGGGACTGGCCCAAGGTCACCCAGCAGGCTTCATGTGGAGGAGTGGGGAATCAAACCCGGTTCTCCAGATTAGAGTCCGCCGCTCTTAACCACTATACCATACTGATTTAAGGCACAGCTTTGGGAAGAAAAGGAAATCCTCACCGGGGTCTTACATGGGGAAAGAAACCTGACCCCAGCAGCCCACAACACAAACACTGTGCCTCCCCTACCAGTGTACAATAACCTTTATGAGTCTCTCTGCTCACTTACCAATAGAGATGATGAGATCTCGCCTGAGGACAAATCCCACCAGGCGCTGGGACTCTCTTGACACCACCACAGGGTAGCCACTGTAGGTCGTCTCGTTAACAATGGCCTCCACATCTTCAACTGTCATACTATCTTGTGTGAGGACGGTCAGTGCAGGGTCACTGCGTCGCGGCCTCATAACGTCCATTGCTAGAGTCTTATGAGAGAACTCCTCTTTGGCCTCCAGGAAAGGGTACCCGTTGAGACGGATGTGGGCATCATAGATGCCCTCCCGGCCGATGGCATCAGCCACCCACTTGCTGGTCATGGCAGCAGCCATCAAAGGCACAATGTACTCCAGGCCCCCGGTGAGTTCAAACATTATGACCACAAGGGACACAGTCATGCGCGTCACTCCCCCTGCAATGCAAACGCAGCTGTGAGCGAAAGATGAACACTTCTAGGCCTCTGACATGCAGACTCCCCCCCCCCTTTTACATGTAGTATAAACTATGTGAGTCATGCAGAGCTTGCTAGGACAGGGTGGGGAAAGCAACAGTACAGCCCATCCTCAGTAATCTTAAGCTTTTATTTAAACTAAGCAGAAAGCTGGGAGCCTGAAAAAAATAAACTGGGCAGTTACTTCTGATGACTGGATGCAGCCCACAGAGGAGTGGAGGCGGCCTCCTATCCAGTAACTGTAATGACCCATAGGTAGCTCGAAAACTTCCACGTATATAACCAGACAAAAGAAATCAAGCTGACAGAACACTGCCCCCTTCACATAAGATGAAGAGCCTTGCTGGAATAGACCAAGTGGCTTTCTAAATTCATCCCTTCCCCAACAGTGGCCAACTAGAAGCTTCTGGGAAGCCTACAAACTGGCCAGGAAGGCAACTGTCTGTCCATATGGTACATCTCTAGCATCAGACACTCAACTGCCTTTGATCATGGAGGTTTCATTTATCACAGCAGATAACCAACACAGACTTGCTCTCTTTAGCCTTCTTTAAAACTATCGCAATTCATGGCCATCACCAGGTAAACACATTCTACTTTCCCAGATATTTGTCTGACATTCATGGTTTGCTTCTTTTAAACCAGCTTTTATTTTAAACATCCCTGAACTTTGGTCTGCCTCATGGTTATGGCTCTTGGAAAGTGACTTCGTGCTGCTGTTTACCATTGTTTTGTCTTGTTGGTTTGTTTTTTGGTTTTTATAAACTGCCTTGCAAGCATTTCAGGTGAGCGTGCAGGATTCTTTTATAAAAGTTTTACAAAAATGAAGGAGTTGTGGCAGCGTGGCAGTGAATTCCGTACGCAAATTGTGGGTTGTGTGTGAAACAGTACTTACAAGTGGACCGGATTCGAAGCCGATCCCAGGACACACAAGAATGCTGGAGTGCTAGAGCTCCCCAACTTTGATTTCCTCTTGGGGACAAAGAGCTATTCTTAGGGCGACGATGATGTGTTACTTAAAGCAACTTCTTCAAAAGCCCTTTAAAAATGGCCGCTGCTTCAAAAGAGAAGGTAACCTTATAGTGGTAAATCAAAACTGGTGTTCTACACTGATTTGTGCTCCAGCTAACAGAGATGAGTTTTGGATCAAGTAAACAACCTCACAGTTTCATAGCTGTCCCTTAATGCTAAAAGCATGTGGTGTTCTTAAGTACCCAGAAATACTTATGAAACCATGTAAAGTGATTATGATGTGTCAACAAGGAAATGCATGCTTCAATTAAACAGAAAAATTGGTTTGTACTGTATCCCCTCTTCCACCGGTATGTAAATTAACAGAGATAAAAGGCCAGACTGCACACTGATTTACGCAGGTACTGAATTCAGAGGAGGACCATGGAGCAGATGGAACTTAACTCTTTATCTGCACACTGTTTTCCCAACCTGAAGCACCACTATGAAGCTGCTGTTTGCCCCACTAGAGCAAACACACACAACACCTTTTTGATTTTACGCCCAAAGGTCAAAAAGCACCACCAGAACTGTTTCAGGTCAGAAACTTAAAATCACCCCCCCCCAAATAGGCATGCTTCACACAGTATCCCAAGTGACTGCTATCCAAGAAGAAAAATAATTGAGAGCTTCATTCACACACAGTAGGGCTGAAAGGATGTCTTCAAAATTTTGTCTGGTGCCCAAATGCAGTAGCATGGAATAAATAACAAACTTATGACATGGGCTGGGGGTGGGGTGGGGGGTACTAGAAGCTCCTTCCTTGGAGCTCTCTGACCTGCAAATGGAAGCAAATTCATCCAGGCTTTCCTCCAGCTGCCAAACTCAGAAGAGTTGTAGCTCGGATTCAGAGAGTCACCCAAGATGTGCCAAAGCACCACCAGCCTCGGCCTTCGTGCCCATGCGGTAAACTTGCTCACCTAGGCAGGCGGCAGCTCCCACCATTGCATAAAGGCCAGGAGTGATGCAGTCAGCCCCTTGGCTGCACCAGTTGTGGAAGATGCCCCAGTCGTGGTGATAGTAGGCCAGCTGCTCCATCCCCACTCCCAGCAGCCGGCCCGCAATGGCCCCAACAGCCATGCTAGGGATGAAGAGACCTGAAGGCACCTGCAAGAGAAACAGACTCATCTGTCGCTGCCCGCTCAAGGAGCCCTCAATCTACATCAAGGCAGCTTTTTTTGCACCAGGGGGAGGTGGGCACCAGATCTACAGGGAACAAACTTTGGCTCTGTTGTACTGGGCTGCTCTTTCCCCAGACCTTAAGGTCACTCCACAAAGCTCCATAAGGTGCACTGCAGACAGCAAAATCTCTCACATACCCCTGCTTCAAGATCTGTGGTCCCATGGAAGGGGATGATCACTTCCAAGTAAGAAACTGCACACAGATAGTTGCGAGGCTTCACAATATGCACATGCATGCTCTCACTGTGGCTTCTTATAACCAAAAAAGCCTTGGCTCTATTCTCGTGTCCTCCCTGTTCCCACTTCCCTACTCTGCTTTCTCTCCTCCACCTGCTTTGTGCGACCTGAAAGCCCAATTTTACATTCTCCATTCCCTGACTACAGCATTTCCCCCCATTGCCGTTTCCTGTCAAAGGAACACTCAGCTCCTTTGGCCAGGATATTTAACACACACCAGATACAAACACGGCCCCCTTCCAGCTGATCTCTCCCTTCTGCCATTTCTCCCACCCTCTCCCCTTTAGGTATCTCATCTTATTCTGACTGCAAGCCTGAGGCAGGCCTTCAGCTTTTAAACTATATGGAATGTATAGTGCCTGGTTTATGTAAGTAGTCCAAAAAGGTCCTATTAGTTTGATATAGACACTTGATTGCATTTCCTTCTTACCTTCATTCCAAAAGTGAATATAGTAATGAAGACTTTGAAGATGAGAGCCAAAGACAGCAGCCACATGGCCCTGTGGACTCCCGGCCCTGCGGCCCTATCGGGCAGATCATCTCCCTTGGTGCTGTTGAAATCATTGACGTATTCACAGAGCTGGGAGGAGTCCAGAAGGCCACAGTCATTGAAGAGCTCAGAGATCAGCTCGCTGGTGCTCATCCGGGTGTACTCATTGGGGAAGGCCAGGATGGCTGTGATGGCTGTCACCACAATCACCTCCGTCACGGGGTACTTGCCCAGCTTGGTGGTCTTGCGCCTCCTGCACCAGGCTATGTTACTGCGGATGAAGAAGGCCCCCCAGAGGCCACCAAAGATCCCCAAGAGGATGAAGGGCACCAGCTCCAGCAGATGCCAGGGAGTGTGGAACTCCACGTAGAACAGGACGAGGCGACTGTTCCCAAAGGGGTTGATGGAGCGCAAGGTGAAGGCTGCTACCAGTGCAGCAAAGAAAGACCGCCACAGTGTCTTGAGGGGGAAATAGTAGCTGACCTGGGACACAGAGGGGCAGATTCAGTCCTCGTGGTTGCACACCGGAGACCTGGCCTGAATTACTTGGCTTAATATCACTTTGTCTTCCACACAGTGAGTTTGTAGCCATGAGTCTTCACAGCCATAATTCTCAGAAACCTGGGTTCGTGAAAACTCTCAAGAGGCTTACATTACATAGTCATGCGGTACAAGCTGCAGGATGCACACAGCCTACAACCGACTCCAACCCTCAGGACCACACCCACAGAGCTTCCAAAGGACCATGATTGTTCCCATGAAAGCTCCACACAGCCAGCAAGCAGAGCTGTTCCAACACACTGAAGTCAGCCGTCAAGGCACAGATCCAGCAGTAGCAACAGAGCTTTCACATGGGTTAGGAGCCCCAGGGATAAGCGGGCAGTGCCTTCCCTTAGAGCCAACCAAGTGAGCTTGACATGCACTGAAGGAGGTGGTCAAAAGCAAACCCGCAATGCACACTAACCTCTTCTAGACTGAAGAGCACGCCACCAATGGGGGCACCGAATGCCACAGATACACCAGCAGCTGCAGCAGCTGATAAGACCTAGGAGGAGAGAGATCCATGGTAATACATTATGCTGAAGCAAATCCGAGGTACTAACATAGGATGAGTACTATTATGCGCACTCTGCAGGATTGGGCGATTAATAAATCGAAATATATATAAATACACACACACACCTTCTCTCTGAAAAAGAACTTTCTGGTCTTAGGCAGGTAATTCTCTAAACGTTTGGTATTACAGCTGCATCACTCTCATACAGCATGTCAGAAACAGAGACTCCAGGGAAGAGAGGCCAAGTAGGGTACCTCAGCCTATTCCAGAACTACAAACACGTCACCTGGAAACCATTCCGGAAGCCATCTTGTTCTGTCACTTCCGAGAAACACTTTGCAGCACAGCCTGTCCAGGCCACCCTCCGGGACCAGAGAGCACGTCCGGCAGCCCCCGACTTACCTCTCGGCGCTTGGCCTCATTCTTTCTATACTTGGTGAAGAGATGGCAAAGGATGTTCCCGCAGCAGCAGGCGACATGCACGAGAGGCCCTTCCTTCCCCAAGCTCAAACCCGAGGAAACGGCCAGCACCAGGGTCATGGTTTTGATGAGCAGCGTCCACTTGCCCAGGTAGCCCCGAATGATGAAGCCACTCAGGATAGTTTTGATCTGGAAGGCAAACACAGAAGGCCTACAGCACAAACACAGCAGCAGTCTGCACAAAGTTGACTCGCATAGTTGGAAACCCACTCAATAGGTAGGGGAAGAAGCTCGCTTTATATTGATTGACTTCGTGTATATCCCATTGCGGACCGAAAATGGCTTGCCTCGTTCTCCTCTCCTCCATGTTATCCTCACAGCAACCCTGTGAGGTAGGTTAGGCTGAGAATGTTTGACCAGCTCAAGGCCACTCAGCAAGCCTCCATGGCAGAGCAGGGGTTCGACGCGGGGGTCTCCCAGATCCTAGTCTGACACGCTAACCACTACACCACACTGGCTCGTGCCTTGCATTTGTTCTGCAGGCCCCCTTTTAAAGCTGGACGAGTGGAGGTCAGCACTGACCGGGACTAGAGCCTTTCAGGCAATTCTCTCTCTTTCCTGCCATGACACTCTTAACTGAACTCACTGAGAGAGGAATTAGAAGCCAGGAGGCAAGGGGGGGGGGGAAGACCCACTTTTAAGAGAAGTCCAAACCCCTCTTCTCTGAACTGGTTTGCTCTTCCCACGTTTCCCAGGGTGCCTCATCCAGAACATCTGTGCTAGATTCAAGAGAGGAAACTGGGCATGCCTGGCAAGGAGGACATGTCTGTGAACAGCACAGGAGGAACCAGACCTTGAGGAATACCTAATCCTGCTCTGCTTTCGTTCATCAAATGCAGCCCAAGAAAGAAACCCATTGGTGAAAACCTACAAGCCAGACTTACCTCTGGGATCCCTGAGCCACAAGCATACGGAGCAAAGCCTCTGACTAGCAACACGGCAAGCAGGGAGAACAGCAGTGCCCATAGGATGTACATGAAGTAGTTGAGGATGTAAGCGAGGGCCTCCTGAAAGGCAGACACACAGAAGGGGCCCCGTCAAGCTTCGGCCATGCAAGGAAGAAGATGCTTAGCAAAGTTGCATCGGCATTGCCCCCCTCTGCTTCTGCCTTGCATTGGTCAAACAAGGCACATGTATTTTGGGAGGAACAAGACTAGCACATAGGTACATTTTATTATATGTGGTGGCTTTGTGATGTAACAAAGAGATACTGGAGATGGATCCACAAAATGATGCAAGAGATATTGAGAACTAAAATACCATTTTTGCCTGAAATATTATTACTAAACATTTTCAAAGGAGTTTGATACAGATGATAGATATTTGATAGCATACCTATGCACTGCAGCAAGAATATTATATGCAAAATATTGGAAACAAATGGAAACACCAAAGAAGCAAGAATATGTGAATAAACTGTTGGAGACGCCTGAAAATGACAAATTGTCATCGTTGATGAGAGGGACAACAGACCCAACATTTCAAAAGACGTGGAAAAAACTGTATGATTGGTACAATATAAATGCATAGCTTAAAGTAATGAAATGTTTGGTATTATTAAAGTTAAATAGAAACTATGGTAATAAAAAGATAAGAGTATACAGAAACTTAAGCAAATTTATAGAAATTCTTTAAATATGGTAATAGAGTTATAAGAAAATATACTGATCTCTTTGAATGTTTTGTGTGTGTAAGTGGATGTTTGTTATGTAGTATGTTTGTTTGTTGGTGTATAATATGAAAAATAATAAAAGTGTACCTTATGGGTACTTAAAAAAAAAAATAGACTAGCACATAGGTGTGCACTCAGAGGTACACCACCAGTGCCCCCCCCCCCCAGGACGTCCCCATTCCCATTACAAACCCCTCCTTGGTTGCCAGTCAGAAGCTGCGCCCACGTCCTCCATTCTGGACATTTGTCCCTGTCCTGAAAGGTGGTTTCCTGAGAAGTCCAGCAGCAGTGCTCGTGGTTGTACCAGAAGCCCTTCAAGCACACACCTTCCTTCAGGTCTGTCATCCAGTGGGCAGAGATGTCAATCAAACCTGCTATCGCCCCTACATTTGAAAACCAGTAGTTTAGTACAGACGAGAGAACAGCACGCAACCAAGAGACCCAAGCAAGGACCGAATGGACTCTGCTCTCTCCAGCATCCACTTCCACCAATAAGGAGGTGTGGGGCCTTCTGGGGACTCCTCTGCATTTGCTTCTAATTTCAAAGGACACGGAGTCACAGTACGAACTGGCAAAGCAGCAAAACAGACGAGCAGGCTTGGCTTTTTGTCATCTCACCTGCCAACAAGCCTATGAGCAGCATCAACAGCCATCCCGAGAAAGCATCACTGACGCTGTGGATCAGGGCCCAGGTGGACTCCTTGCTTTTATTGGTGATCTGGGAAAGGAAATTTGAGAGAGAGAGAGAGAGAAGCTGTGTATTTAGCAGGCTGCAGGCAAGAGAAAACCGCTAAAGATCCATGGCTTTTCCCACCTCACCCCCCCCCATCCCACCATGTGTGCAAGGATTTGATAAAATGGCAGATGCCACAAACCAACCCCACCCCCAGCTAGTATGCAACTGCACACCTAAGGAAGATTTACCCCAGTGGAGTGGCTCAGACACCATCTCCCTGCACCACTTTCCCAGTCAAATCAGGAGCCACACGCAGCTGCTCTGAAGCCTTTTTTTAAAAAGGAGGAAGAGGTGGGAGATATCCCGAGGACAGATCTCCTGTGCCCCTTTCAGTTTTGCTGCAAGTGGAATTCTCAGAATGCTTCCCTGCAAACACACCCATCCCGTTGCCTGGAGAAAGGAAAAGCTCAGAGAGACGGGGAAAGAAGCAGCTCCAGTCTCCCAGCAAAGCCGCAACTGACCTCTCTGTGCCTGTCGCGGTCCCGAGACTTTTCGCGCACCCAGTCTATCGTGTTGAAATCTTCATAGGTCCCCACGCCAGGGAGCGGCTCTTCCAGAAAATCCATCATCTTGCTTGAGCCATTCATCCCGCCTCCATTATACGAGGAGAAGCCTGCAGAGCAGACAGAGAAGGAGAAGAGCTCTTCTTGACTGATGATACTGGGGCTTGCTTAAGGGAAGGATGAAAAGTGGTGGACTGTTCGGCTTGCCTGGAAGGGTCACAGAGCAAAGGATTTCCAGCACTCCACCTGCAGCCAGCCAGGTGTCCCCAGAAGCCCACAAGCAGCACTGACTGCCCCTGGTAATCAATGACAGCCTGCTTCTGCATATGGAGGTTCTGTTTTTAAACTATCATATCAACAACTATTAATCAGCCTATTCTCCGTGAGAGACTGAGAGGTGGGGGTGGAGCTAACAGTGTGGCATGTGGGGATTCCTCCTTCCTAGTAGCTGTGGTCTTCACCTGTGGAATCTAGCAACCGCTGAGCCACTCTAAGCCCCTGCAGCATCTCCACTATAACTAGCTGGCCGCTGCTGGAACTGGTGGAGCTTCTGCATCTTAATGCTGCACGGTCATCTGCCAAACAGATGCTGGGTCAGGGTCCTAAAAGGTAGAATAGGCTTAAGGGGAGGGAGATATCATGCAAGAAAGTGTCAAAGTGGAGGAAGCAGATCCTGAAGAGGCAGGTAGATATCCCAGCAAAGGTCTTTACATCAAGCTGGCAGACTCAGTCCATGCCAGGCCCTTGATCCTGCTCCGGTGCAGTCAACAGGGCACATGTGCCTCTGGGGTTGGAGGGGCATCTAATCCATGCCTTTGCACACCTGTGGAATGAATGCCACTTGGCCACAGAAAATCCACCCCACCCCTCGCCCCTCCTTGGTGTGATGCCTTGCCACATCAGCCAGGGCAAGCAACACAGTGGGAAGCCTCCCCCACGACAGACCTGGGTGGAAAGTTTCATCTGCAGACACCTGGAGACCATTAGGCCAGGAAGGGCTGGGGTGCTGCTTTTCCATTGGGGTCGAAAATTCTGCCGCTGAGAACACCCCGATCTGCTGCTGTAGGCAGCCTGGAAAAATCCTTTGTAAATCCACAGAAGGGAACACAGCGTCCAGAGAGTGCAAAGTCGTTCCCCCAAGCAGGTGACTGGGCTGAGTTAATCGTTAAGCGGCTTCACCTTTAAAGCCAGAGGGAGGCCGAAGAATAAATGGCTGCTGGGCTCTAAACGTCTGCTCGAGCAACTTCTGCCTTGGCAGACACTGAGCCACGTCACCAGAGCCATGGGGGTTCTCTGCTGCTGGTGACCAGGTCAGTTCTCCAAACGGAATCTGGGAGCTATTCCCCTCTGCCCAAAAACCGCCTATGAGTGAGAGAAACACTCTCTCTCGACCTCCTGAAATCCAGTCCCTCTTGCCTCACACTGCTGCCCCAAGCAGGCTTGTCTGCCTGCCTGCCTTTCTTCTGCAATCTTTTATGGTTTGGTGCCTCCCAGGCACACGGCTTCTGAAGCATCACAAAGACAGTTCAAAGTGCATTTCCCTAATCCTCTTGCTGAAGGAGTGTGCCTCCCTTTGGTGGACCTGGCAAACAGCCTCCCTTGCCCTTGAGCAACGCAGAGCCTGGCAGAGGCTGCCTGCCTGCCTGCCTGCCTCCAAAGACAACACACTGGTTCATGGCGAGTGGTTAGCAGCGCAGAGAAAGCCGCCCCACCCCCACCTGTCTTCTGGCTCCAGAGAGAGGGTCTTCCCAGGGCCGCACAGCCTCAGCAGCCACCCCTGCAAGGGACTGCTGGGTAAGACTGGTGCTCCCTTGGGGCAGGCAGCCGCTTTCCCTTCTTCTCAACAGAACAACATCTTTGGGGAGGGAGGGAGAAGGGGGTCTGGCAGAGGGCAAGGGTGCTGCTGCAGCTGCCTTCTTTCCCTCACCGAGACACTCGCTGGGCAGTGCTGCCTTCCCTTCCACTCAGCACGGCTGCTAGACAGACGGGGCTCAGAGCATGTCTCTGTTCACCCGCTGGCAGCGGCTTGAGATGAGCAGGTCAGAAACTGCCCCCTGGTGGACGAGGGAGAGTTCCAGCTACGGGAGGGAAGGAAGCAGCATCTGCCCCTTCAGGACAGGGGGACTGAGAGACAGCAGACATGCAAAGGGGCTTTCAACTCTCCTTCTCTCCTTCTGTTCCCGTCAATGGACACTGACTTCCAAGTTCCTCTGAGTAAACCTTCAGAGGTTAGTGCTGAAAGCAAACTTTCAAAACAGGACCTCGGGCACAAGAGATGAAAAGATACCTGCCCTGCAGTGAAGTTTCTTATCTATTCCTTGGCCAGACTCTCTCCCTACCCTTTGCTGACAACAGCTGCTATTCTGTAGGTTGAGAGCAGATGTGTACATGTACAACACATGTTCGCATTAACTTACTTCTGCTATGGATACCCATCTCAAAAGAACAGCTCTGCGAAGTCTGAAAATTCACATCCATTATGTTTGAGCATGACTCGGCCCAGTGGAAAGTACTGCGCACACTCCACATTTCTGTCCCCCACTGATTCAGTGGGGCTTATAAGAACCCAGATACTTTTGGATAAGACATCAGAGAAAGCGGAAGAACAGCAAAGCATAATGGTTAGGAGCATGAGCTGTAATCTTCCACTCCAGACCTCAGCCATTTTTCTCAGCTTCAGTAATGGAGTGCAGATAATAGTGGTCTACCTTACACGGCTGTTGTTAAGGAGTTCCAACACAATACATGCAAAGTGTGCTGGGCCCTTAAGAGAAGGGCTATCTAAATACTCAGCACTGTTCAGCTACTCGGACGATTAGGGACTATGATTCATGAACCAGAAGAAAGAAAAAGGGATGCAATTTTGATTTGTTCCTTGCAAACATTCACCATCAGCTACTAGAGAGGCCAGTGTGGTGTAGCAGTTAGTGTGCTCAACCAGGATCTGGGAGACCATAAGATGATAAGAAGAGCCCGACTGGAACAGAACAGTAGTCCATCTAGTCCAGCATCCTGTCTCACACAGTCACCAAACAGTTCCTCTGGACAGCCAACAAGAGGGCATAGCGGCCAAGGCCTTCCCGTGATGTTGCCTCCTGGCTCTGGGATTCAGAGGATTAGTGCCTCTGAATACGGAGGTTCCCCGCAATCACTATGGCTAGTAGACACTGATAGATTTATCCTCCATAAATCTATCTCATTCCCTTTTAAAGCTATTTATTCCTGTAGCCCTCACTACCCCCTCTGGCAGTGAATTCTATTCTAATCACTCTCTGTGTAAAGTAGTACATCCCTTTGTCCGTCCCAAACCTACTGCCCGCCAGCTTCATTGGATGCCCTCGAGTTCTAGTATTTTGGGAGAGGGAGAAAACGTTCTCGTTGTCAACTCTCTCCACCCCATGCATAATTTTATACACTTCTACCATGTCCCCCCCCTTAGTCGCCTCTTTTCTAAACTGAAAAGTCCCAGATTTTTCAGCCTTTCCTCATAGGGGAGGTGCTCCAACCCCCTAATCATCTTGGCTGCCCTCCTGTGATCCAGGTTTCAAATCTCACTCTGCCACGGAAACCTGCCAAGTGTCAGGCCAGTCACAAACTCAGCCGACTCTACATCACATGGTTGTGGTGAGGATAACATGGAGGAAAGGGGGATACTCCCCCATCAAAAGAGCTCCACGGTTTCCAAGCTTATGAGGATACGGTCACCAGGCCCACTTTTGATGCCCAAATCACGACTTTGGCATAACTACTGAAAGCACAGGGAAGCAGCAGGCCCAGCAAGGAACACCATCCTTTGGCCCAGAGAAGCCAGCTTTGCCACCTGCAATACCCTGCAGGGATGCAGCACCTTCTGCACACCAGGACGTTCTGAAGCAGCTTATCACCCGGAGCCCCTAAAGGAGAACCATGCACACCCTTCCCCACCCCCTAGAGAGCTAGAACACGTGCTTCAACACTGAAAAATGTCCCTGCTCTTGCCATTACAGAAGGTGGTAAACCAAAGAATTACAGGCCTGGTGCCTAGCAACCTCGGGCAAGTTGCAAAGAGACTGCAGATCATATTTAATGCAGGTTTGCAAAAGGGGACACAGGAATTAGGGAAAGGGCCACACCAGCAAGGGGGTCTGAACAAGCTCCTGATGGCAAGTGCATCCCAGGGGCACAGCTGTACCTTCAAATGGCACTGCTGCTGGTTTGCTCACATCTCCCGATTCTATGGCTGAGGCCACCTCCCAGCCAACCAATGGCAATAGCGGCTGGGGCAGAGGCCAACAGCAGGTGGCTGTTAAACACACACGATAGGCTGCTATTGGGAGCTGGCATCCTCCATCAGCCGCTGAGACTCCCGGAGCCCTGACAGGACTGACCACTGGCCTGACCTGCTGTGCCCAGGAGTAGGCTCCTCCCTCCCCTTTGCAGTGCTGCGCTGTACCACTCCATGGCAAGGGCAGTCTCAGTGAATGGGCAATAGGGGCAGCTGCCCTGGGCCCTACACTGGGAGGAGCCCCAACCACCCATGTTCCCCCAGAATGAGGGGGGGGGAGAGAAGACAACAACCAGGCTCCTGCTGCTATTCATGCCCACCCTGTTGGAATGTACAAGGTCTATAGTGCACCTACTTGAAGCAGATCAGAAGCACAGCCTATAGGGGACAGCTGAAGGACTGCAAGTTAGCACAGCTAGATTCAGGACTTCCCACAATTTCAAATTATGTCCTTCCTGTCTCCTGATTGGCTCTTCGGAGACTTCCTGCTCCAACTGAGGCCTCCCCCCTTCGCTCCTGTCTCTCACAGCAGTTAGTCAGTTAGTTAAGCCTCTGTGCCTCTCCTCTGTTCTATCAGGGTTTATTTCTTCTTTAATAAACTGAGTTATTTTCTTTAAACAGTTGGTACCTCGTTCCTCTGCGTGTTTAAACTCTGCCAACAGGCTTCATCAGGGGCTTGGGCAGCTGGCTTCCAGTGGCGGCACCTGCCCACCTTGCACAGGCAAGGGCCTCCCCTTACTCGGCTCCGGCAGGGGGGCTGGCAACGAGGTGGCAGTGATCCTATAGGGACCCATCCTGGACTTTTTCCCAGGGCCCCGGAATCACTAAGACCGTCCCTGCTCCACGGCACCTCCCCCTCCTACTCTGCCACCTCCTTGAGCAAGTGGTGATGGAGGCTCAGAGCAGCAGTAGCCACTGACGTTTGTGGGGGGGGGGGCGGGAGAGACAACAGGAAAACAAGAAGAGGAAGCTGCTCCGGTCCACCACTGGTCCCCACAGCAGCTATGATGCTGCAGCAGCTGCGGCCTCTTGCCTTCTCTTTCTCCAGGCACTGCTCCCTCTGGTGGCAACTCCTCCTCTTCTCAGCCACAGCTCCCGTTCCGAGGTTTGCTACCACGGTCAGTCATTCACCAGCACAGAAGCTACGGCAACGAGGAGCATCTGCCACCGGCCCGAGGGAGAAAGCAGCAACAGCTAGGAGCAGCAACCACTTGCTCACTTGCCCTCTCCCACTGGGCATCGGCTATTGCTCCTCCTAGCTGCTGTCGCTGTCTGCTCAAATCAATAGGCAGGGGATTGGCAGTGTTGGCAGCTGCTTGCCCAGTGTCTTGGGCAGAGGAAGGAGCCATCAATGGTGGCAGCACAGCTCATGCATCTGGAGGAGGACCTCACTGGACAGCATCTTGCCCAGGGCCCCCCAAAACTGTCCTAGAGTCAGCCCTGCGTGAATTTAGGTTTTAGTTCCCGCTGCATGTGATATGATGCTGTAATAAGTGATCTTCAAAACAATACCACGGCCTGCTCCGGAATGCCCCAAGACAGTTTCTTCCCCACCACTATGAATGAGCCCCAAGACCCACTATACTTCAGCTGTACTAGAAGTTAGCAGCAGGCATACAAGAGCTCATGTTAGCCAGAAGGCTTGGTAAAAGGGAAAGACAAGGTGTTGGGTATTACAAGTTGAAAACATTCAGTATATCTGGGGTTAAATGTTTGTTTATGTTACTCACAGGAAGTCACATGTTTTTCATGTAACCAATGTTCTTTAGCTGTAGAATACCCGGGAATTTTCTCCCTGATCTAGGAATTTGATTGGGACTAAAGTGTCAAGGTGTATTAGCATTTTATGTCTCTCTTCCCGTCTTTGTTTGGTGTTCTGAAGAAGAAGAAGAGTAGCCATAATCTCACTCTTCTAGTTTTGTCTTTGTAGAGTAAGGATGTAGCAGATTTTGCTCTGTTGTTATTTTCATCCCAGTTACCCTTCCCATGCTAGAATTTAGTAAAAACTTTATATTTTAATCACACATGGACTCTGAGTCTGAATTATTTTATTCCGGGACTGCTGGACTATCTTATCTCTGCTAAATACAATTTTTTCAATATCTCACTATCACCCAACACAAGGACACAGAGTGTTTGCAGGTAGCTCCAGCATTACCTTCCGCCATCTCTCTGTCCAGAGGGGGCACATCGTCCACCATTGAGAAGTCCAGTGTTCCCCCTGCAACCTCCACCATATCTTCATCGCTGGTGCTGCTCTGGAAACTCCCACGTCGGTAGCCTTTCTTATCCATAGCCAAGAGGTTCAAGACCTGCGGTGGGAGAAGGAAGAAAGAAAGATGTTAGCCATGCCACACAGTGAAGAGAACGTTGCCAAAACTTGTGTCTGAGCTTGGCCTACCATAGCAGTCTGGAATGATGGAAACCATTCAAGTCAGTGGCCTTTTCAAGAAAGAAGGCCCCCTTCTCACAACTGAAACAAACTGAGACCAGTACACTCCGGGCAACTGGGGCTCTGGAATCTGGCACCTGGAGAACCTCAAGTTTTACTTTAAAACAAAACAGCAATCTATGCAGTCTTACTGGCAAGGATCCTCCAACCTTGTTGAGTCTGCAGGCATTTCCACAATTCTGAGAGGAATAGTGGATGCCATCACTGTGGCAGCCACGTGGGCCCCTAATGTAAACCCTCCCACCCCCATACACGTTTTTTAAACAAAGTTTCAACAAAATGAAACTTCCAGGGGGAAAGCAGATTTCAATTTTGGGAGGGGGAAACTTCCAGGTAACAGGACAATTGCCAGAGTTCCATAAGATCCATCCAGCTTAAGTTCCAGTGAGTGGCCTTAGCTGCCATCTGCAGGTCTTTGCAAGATCAGGGACTCTTCTACAGGAGAGGTCAGTTGAAATCAGTATCACAGAGCTCATAAGTCTGTGCGGACATACACTGACTAAAGAGACTCTGGGTTTAACAGATGCCAGGAGGGTGGGGTACATTTCTCAAGCTGTCTGGGGGAGTTGAAATCCTATATTCTCCTCGTCTCTCATCCTGGTCCCTCCTCTATTCACTTAAGCTTCTCACAGCAAGGATCCTCCCCCACCCCTTCTGGTGCAAAGTAGTTTCAAGCACACATATGCACCAATGAAGACAACTGGAGCCAAGCCCTGAGGTCAGGTGCATGCTTCCCTGTAAGTTGTGGCTACTCCACAGACTCTGTAGGAGGACGCTGAATCAAAGCTCTCTTGCCCCCACTGCATTCATCTGGAGAAAATGAACTGAGGTCACCAAGATGGGATGGGAAAGGGCTTTCCTGGGACAGTTTCAAGTCTTCCATTACATTAAGAATCCTTAACTAAACACAGCAGAGCACAGAATCAAGACACAAGGAAAGGGAGAGAAATCCAGCATGGCAAGCAGACCAAAGGCAGGCCAATTTAACCACTATGCCTTGAGAGTTTCCACAATTCACTCCCGGTCTCTCTCTCTCACCAGGAAGTTAGGAAAAGCTGCAATACACTTCTGGGCTCAAGGTACTGCCAGTGTGCCCCCAATTGGTTCAAGTCTGAGATGCAGGGCCGCTGCCACGATGTTGATGCCTAAAAAGAACCGCAGTGCCATTTATGAGCTGCTTTTTAAGGAGGGAGTGATGGTAGCTAAGAAAGATGTTCACATGCCGAAGCACCCAGAGCTGGCAGACAAAAATGTGCCCAACCTCCATGTCATGAAAGCAATGCAGTCACTGAAATCTCGTGGCTATGTCAAGGAGCAGTTTGCATGGAGGCATTTCTACTGGTATCTGACCAATGAAGGCATCCAGTACCTGCGGGATTATCTTCACCAGCCACCTGAAATTGTGCCTGCCACCTTACGTCGCAGCCGTCCTGAAACTGGCAGACCACGGCCCAAAGGATTGGAGGGTGAGCATCCTGCTCGCCTTACCCGTGGCGAAGCTGACCGGGACACATATAGACGCAGTGCTGCTCCTCCTGGTGCTGACAAGAAAGCTGAAGCTGGTGCAGCTACTGAATTTCAGTTTAGAGGTGGATTTGGGCGTGGTCAGCCGCCTCAGTAGAAATCTGCTGCTGTTGGTGTGTGTCATGTGTATAATAAATAGGTGTCAATTAAAAAAAAAGTCTGAGATGCAGGAAGGAGGGGGCTCACAAGTACACATGGCTTTCAGAAGCATGGCTCACTCCAGCTCTGCATCATCAGCCACCGTCCCATGAGTGGCTAAGACACAAGTGTTCGTATCACTGTTGTGAGAACTTGAGGTGAAAGGAGGGAATTGCCGCAGGGAGCCATAAAACTCTGACCCAAATGCAATGCACGAGCTGTCCAGTACTGAAAAGGTTAATGGTGGGAACCATCTTCTAGATCAGGGGTGTCAAACATGCAGCCCGGGGGCTGGATCAGGCCTCCAAAGGGCTTCTATCAGCCACGCAGTGGAACTGCTGTCTTCTGCTTCTTCTTCCAGTTCTGCTGCTGCTGCTGTGTCATCGTAGGTTTGCAGCTTACAGATACACACCTGAACAGCATACTCAAGATTGCAACAGCTCAGAAATTTTGATGCAGTAATTCAGAGCAAGAGGTGTCAGTTATCAGACACTGTTAAATAAACAAAATATTGCAAGAGTGCTAATGTTTTAAGCATGTTTTTATTCTAAGTAAAATAAAACCCTTTGCGTTTGTGTCCTTTTATAAAGTTTATATCTTCGCTACCTGGCATTACATTTGATGACAAACATGGCCTGGCCCAACAAAGTCTCATTTATGTCAGATCCAGCCCTCATAACAAATGAGTTTGACACCCCTGCTCTAGACCCAAAGAATCTGCGGTGGTCTCAGAACTACAAACCTGTTCTCCAGCAAAAGAGAAAGACAGCAGGGCCAAATAAGTTAAAACACAGGGGTGTGCTTCCCTTTAAATTGTGACTACTCCACAGACTTTGTAGGCGGCAGCCAAAGCTGACAAGCACCAAGGGTATGGCTCAAGTACATTAACAAGGGCCCCTGGAGGAGGGGATGTGAAGGGAGGCCTTATGGCGAGAAATAAGTAGTGGAGGCAGATCAGGAAGAATGTGAAAAACACCCTCCCAAAACATTACGAGCATTGCAGAATGCACATGAAGAGAACCAGCAGTGTGTGGGGGGGGGTAGCCAGTAGGCAAGCAGAGTGGAGTGTGCCAAAAAGCAAAAGATTTATGCAATCTGAAGAGAAACCAGAGTATATGTATTAGGATTTCATTTTCCTCCTGTTGGTTTTCCTCCTGTTTGCTATTACCAATAAAGGTTGTGATGGCTGTTGTTGAGTGTGCCAAAAGTGGGAGGGGGAAATGCATAGGAAGCTTGATTCTTCAGGGGCTCAGGGGGCCAAAAAAAAAAAAAAAGAGTCGAAATCAGCCCAAAGCACCTCCCGGCATATCTCAGCCACAGAACAGGCACTATCTGTAGCAAATACACTCTGACACAATGGATTGCCTTGAATGCTTTGCAAACACTCATCGGAAGAAGAACCACTCAGCTCTGCTATAATCTGTTCCGACAGCAAACAGTTATTTTTAAAAAAGTAACACAAAGTCATTGCGCTGTTATGTCAACACCTTCGGAGCCTGGCCAGATGCCAGCACGACACCAGGTGGCCAAAGCGCAGGTGCACCTTGGCTCAAACGCTCACGCTGTAGCTGGTGCCGTGGCATCACAAAGCGAGGACTCCTAGTCTTGAGGGGCTACCAGCCAATGAAAAGGTAGCTCATTGTAGTTTTTTTTAAAAAAAGTAGTGGCTGGCTTCAGGATGAGCACTTGCAGAAGCTACCTGCACATTACTGGGAACAAAATAATGCCAGGGAGAGTTGAAGGCAGTAGGAAAAGAGGAAGACCCAACTCGGGATGGACTGACAACAGAGCCATGGCCTTTAATTAGCTAAATCTGAGCAAGGCTATTAAATTATACAATGTTCTGGAGGCCATCAATTCACAGGGTCGCCATAAATCAGAAGCAACAACACAAACACCTATAACCTGCCCTGTAAATTTAGGAGGAGAAGCATAACATGCATCACCCAGGCATTTGCATAAGTAGCAATGTTTTATTGGTCTCTTTTTTGGGTTTTTTGTTGTTGTTGTATTTTTCATATGTCTCTATGTGTGTGCGCACGCACACCTGGAAGTCATGGCAACCTCTGGTGACTGACCCCTACTGGGGGCCTGGAGGATATCCAGAAAGGTGGTTGAATAAAGCCTGCCCCTATCCTCCCAACTGCTGGTATTCCAAGGTAGTCTCCCATCCAAGTACTTGCCAGAGCTGACCCTGCTCAGCTTCCGAGATCTGACGAGATTGGGCTTCCCTGGGCTACCCAGGCCAGGGCTATAATCAGCAAAGTTGATCATAAGAACATAAGAAGAGCCCTGCTGGATCAGACCAATGGTCCATCTAGTCTAGCATCCTGTCTCACACAGTGGCCAACCAGTTCCTCTGAACAGCCAACAACAGGGAATAGAGACCAAGGCCTTCCCCTGATGTTGCCTCCTGGCTCTGGGATTCAGAGGATTAGTGCCTCTGAATGTGGAGGTTCCCCTCAGGCACTATGGCTAGTAGCCACCGATAGACTTATCCTCCTCAGTCTATCTAATCCCCCTTTAAAGTTGTTTATTCTGTGGCCATCATTACATCCTCTGGCAGCAAATTCCACATTTTAATCACTCTCTCTGTAAAGTAGTATTTCCTTTTGTCCGTCTTGAACCTACTGCCCATCAGCTTCATTGGATGCCCTCGAGTTCTAGTATTTTGAAAGAGGGAGAAAAGTTCTCTTGGTCAACTCTCTCCACCCGATGCATAATTCTATACACTTCTACCATGTCCCCCCTTAGTCGTCTCTTTTCTAAACTGAAAAGTCCCAGACTCTTCACCCCTCTCTCAGACAAATAAGTATCACAAGAGAAAAGACCTGCGAAACTCGCGGGGGGGGGGGAGGAACTCAGCAGGGGGAGGAGGAGGAAGGAGGTAAGCTCCCCCCCCTCCCGTCGGTTCCCCCCGTCTCCTCCACCCCCGGCTCACCACCCCCCCAGTCTCTCATCTCCCCCCCCTCCGATGCAGCCGCCG